GCCGATTGATCTCAATGGTACTTCCTCCATACGAGTGCGAGAAAGACCGGGAGATCAATGAATCACTTCCACGCAGATCACAACAAACAGAACAATGTTCACCATTTCTCACGACATTCAAAAGAGGATATTTCAACATGTGAGGTGATCCGACACCTTCACGACGTTAAAGACCCAAAAAGGTCTTTCGCATTTACTTCACGTGCTCCGGATTTAAGCGACCGTGAAATCATGAAACGCAAAATCCGCGGGCGACAGATCTTTGGCGACGCTTTCTGAGGTCAGGCCCCATTTAGCCGCTCGAATCCCGGGCGAGGTCTCGGCCTCAACCTTCAGAAGATAATGGATGTTTTGGCACCGCCACCGACTGCGGCGTTTGTGGAATCCGGGTGTAAGCGAAGACGCAGAACGAGAATGCATGCCCCTCGAATTAGCGGCCCGTGCATTAACGGCTTGCTCGCGAGTCGCCTCACTTCGCCGCCTCCTGGAGATGGTTCCGCCTCTGAAAACGTGTCAACCAACAAAACAATTCGCACCGGTTTAGGAGGCTCAAGGCATCAATTGATGTCGCTGCAGGGACTGTCTGTCCGATAGGTCCAAGCGTCCACTCCCAACGGTGGGAGGATTTTCGGCACAAGCTACATAGATAGATCGAATTCAGCCGCTGTCTGGAGAAGAATTCTAGCGGCCGGCTGCTCTGATCGGTAGTTTTCCGTGCTTTCCCCCGATCAACACCAGTCGAATGCTTGAGCACTACCCTAACAAACGGGCCACTGTGCGCGCGCGATTTTTCCTTCCTCTTCCTTGCCCTATCCCCACCCGTTACTTACACACATAACACTACCACATGCTGAGAGACCAATCGGGAGCTTACAGCTTGTCCCGACTGGAGCGGTGCCCCGTTAGTGGAAGAAACATGGATGGGCAAAATCCCAGCAAGCCAACGGGTTGGTCGGTGCCAGATCTAGCCAGCGGGGAAAGATCGCCGACACCTCCCGCGACGGAAACATGCACTACACAGTTACGAGACTAATGACCTTACTAACTGACGCGTCCGAAATTACTAATCAATCAATAAAAATGATTCGCAATTCCAGACGATGACAAATGGCCGCACCTTTTCCAGAACACTCGTACCATACAGAAGCATTGGACAGTTGCCTGCTAGGATTCAGAAAAAAAGGGCGACCGACGTTATTAACATTTCGGAGATGTTTTACAAACATGATCACACCAATCCCTCGTGGACGGCCTATTCCGCATCCTTTCGCCAGTTCCCTTCTCCGTCCCTACATTCTGCCCTTCCTAAAACACGTTGAACGTCCAGGTGCAGCGAACGGGCTGACGTAGGCAGAAACGCACAGCGTCCTGGATAGCTTTCTCCCCCACGTGCGGAGAGAGACGCCCGCCGACCAGAAGGATTTCTTCCCTCGGAGTCGAACATGGAACCACCCGGGCGACATCGACCGATAGATGCGGTGTTAAAAAGAAAAGTCATTCGAATTACTCGAGAAACACGATTTGGTTCTCCAAAAACAAGCCGAATCCAAACGTTTCATATTCATGATTTATCTACTTTCCACCTTAAGTTAAGAAAGATGTTAAGCTACACACAGGAAGCAAGGTAACCAAACAAACTCATGGTACTGGCGTATCAGAATTAAGTCCATTAAGTTCTTAAGGCTAAAGCTAAGTAGCTGTTAGATAATCGAAAATATTTATACAGATTCTCATCTCCTTCAAGATACCTTAATACGTCAAGCTCATGCACTGTTCAAGAGTTATCTATTTGCTTCCCCAAGGGTGAAAATTCGCGACCTGCCTGAAACAATAAAAGAGCACAGAGGTCGCCAATTCTTTCAGAGACAACGTCTCAAGTTGTGCCTCTCGCATTTCCACCAGCAGCCACAACCGCATTCATAAATACACACGACCGACACTAGCGAAAGAAACTTGTCATTCAAGCAGAAAGATGGCGAAACTACGTGAAAGAAACACACATCCCACATGATGCAGAACCTTTGTGACGCGAATCGAAAGGAAAAGAGTTAAACCGAGCAGCAGCAGCATCTTGCGCGTCCAGCGAAAGAGAGAAGGCGACGGCGCGGTCCCGCGGGCGGGGAGAGGGCGCGGCTGGGCGCCACCTGACGGAAGGGCGTGGCGCGTGGCGCGGCGCCGCTCATACTCACTTCCCGGGTGGTGAAGCCTGGCCGCGGCGGCGGCGGCGCGTAGGGCCCTTCGGCGGGCGCGCCATCGCTCCCCGGCGCCGCCCGGGCCCGGCCCCGCCCCCGCCGCCACGCGTTGCTGGAGTCGGAGTGCGAGCGGCGGAGTCGCGCGTGCCACTGGTGGTAGTTGAGGAAGTAGTGGCGGCGCCGCCACGAAACCTCATGGTGAGCGCGTCGCCGTTGCGCCCCGACGCCGCCGGGGGCGGGGGCGGGGCGGGGACAAGGAGCCGGCGGGCGAGCGGGGCGGGGACCTCCGCGCTCCTCGCTGCAGCCCCGCTGCTGCGGCTGCAGCGCCGCGCTCCGCGCCCGACTCGCCCCGGGCCGCGCCCTCTCTCCGCCTCCACCGTGGAGGCCGGCAGGCGCCCAGACAGCCTGCGGCAGCGGCCACGCCCCGGCGCCGGCGGGGACAAGGACGATCGCGGCGCGGATCTTCCGCGGAGGTGCGACGGGCGTCTGAGCCGCTCCGCCGCCGCTGCACCTGCACCGCCGGCCCCGCCCCCGCCCTCGCCCACGGCCGGCGGGGGCAGGTCGCCGCGGCCGTCGGCGCCAGCCGCCCGCTAACTCCCGGCGCACGCGCTCCGCACACTCAGCGTCCGCCTCCCAACGCACGGGTCACGCGCAACGCGCCGCACACCGCCCGCCCCAATCGCCCGTGGGCGGTAGACGCGCGCGCGCGCGCCCGTGTGCGTGAACCCGCGTCGCCGTCCGCGTCCACGCTCGCAGCCCGCCCCCGATGTCAATACGCCTGTCACACTGAACCCCAGCGCGCCCCAGACCGATGCCCCCCCCTGGAGTCCGCTAAACTTAGCCCCTCAACCTTTCTTCTTCTTCGCCTTCTTCTCCGTGGGTCTCTCTCTCTCTCTCTCCTGCGACGAACGCCCCGATCCCTTATACAAACAGGAAGGCGCGACAAAAGAACAAAAAGGCGCCTCCAGCCTGGAAGCGGTTTGTAAATAACCCGCGCGCCGGCGTCACGAGGGAGCTCTGTTACACGTGCGCGTGGCGGGGGCGGGGCGGGGCTGCGTGGGCCTCGCGAGGGCGCAGGGGTCAGGCGCTATGGGAGCTTTCGCAACGGGGGCCATCCGCGACGGCTTGATCCCACTGTCATCGCGGCGGACGCTGAGATCAAGCCCCCAGGTCGACAACCACCTCGGACGACAGGGCGGATTCCGCAGCCGCGCCTGCCTCGACAGCGATCGAACGGGGCTGGCCGGCCCGCCCGCGCACGTGCCTCGCCGCCCCATAACACGCCACTCCGCCGCGCCGTTTGACACTGGTCAGCGACATCACGTGTCCTCGTTGATGATCGTTGCACTTCGCCTCCGCATTCTAAAGCTCCAAGGCGTTTACAGCTACGCGCTTCACGCGTGCCGAGGTGATGCGCGCGCGATTTTCCCGAAATTCGACAACGAAAAAGCAACGACAAAATAAAATACTGGGCGTAACCCGTCATGTGGTTGGCTGTAAGCAGTAACAGCCGCGTGCTCTTCCCTCCCCAGTTTTTGTTCCGGTGAGACGGGGCTTGCCCTATAGGCCAAAGGCATCTGGCTGTAATTCAAGAGCACTGGGACACGGCTCTGGCACCCACTTGTATTTTCTACACAAGGCAAACGCTCACATCAGTGCTCAAGTGGCGGGTGACAGAGGAGCAGGCAGCAATATTGAAGTCATAGCCAGTGATTCGGGTTTGATTGCAGCGAGGATATGTCAAATAAGTGCTGTGTTCCATCAGAGTTATCATGTAATGCTTTCACAAGTTGTTTTAACAACACACAGATATACATACATGTTTGTGTATACTGTTTAAGTGTGAACTTGAAGAAATACCGACATCACAAGTTAGTTAAAAATAAGTGAAATACAGACATTAGATGGGAGAGATAATGTCAACATGACTGCAAGGTAAGTGTAATTGCCAGTACTCGCACTTTTGAACTACTATTCACATTCACAGATTCCTACAATTGCATTATTATTATAGGAGATGAATTTTATTCAAATGGGATAGAACGTCTGACGGGAATTATAGAAATATCCCTCGGTGTATATCGTATACTTTTTAATTAAAAATATTTGTTTATAAATCATGAATTATTTCCAAATAATTACACAAACCATTTAGAATTTCACATCATAGCAAATATCCCAACCAAGTGGTGGTGTGTTATATTAAAGAACATTCCTTACTATCTCCATAGCATGCTTAAAACCGCATAAAATATAATCATTTTCTGATTCTATCTTCAAAGTTTTCAAACTGGAAGAATCTAATATCAGTACCAAACTCTTAAGAAATTGAGAATATGGGCTTTTAAATGCATAATATAAACATCATCATTCAGTAAGTGGAATTAATGATACAGGTGTTATGTCCATAGGAGTGCACAGTACCTCTTTGGCAATTTGGTCCAAAGCTTGATCCTCGGCCGAATGTTTGGTGGCCGCTCTGCGGCGACCACCCCCAGCTGTAGTATTGTCCATGTTTCATTCGAAGCACAGCATGCCTAGGGCACAACCCAGAAACAATAGTTGAAAAGTGGGGTTAGAAGAAATGAGAGGTAGACATTGTTTGATTTGCACAAAACTTCACAAAGTTCTAGACTGGATATAACGTTCGAATGACACTCAAACATACATACAATTTATCACAAACACTTATTGTAGTCCAATAAATTTAAGAATACAAAATCTAACTGTCTCGTCGCACCATAAAATACCATGTTACACCTTGGGCACATGTAAACAGAAAAGTACGCTACTTACAAGTTCGCACACCTGCATGCATCTTCATCTTGATTAAATTCCTATTATTTGTGAAACTTGATCCAGTCAAAGGAATCATCTGCTATAAATAATCAATCGTTTGGCGACCTTCATGTCACTTAACTGGTCAACTGTAGGTTGAGCGAGTTACAACATTAGGGATTGGTCTTCCCTACTAAATTAAGTCTATAAGCGCCGCTTTCTATCTTAGACATGTGTAAAGTTCGAGTTTAACTCTTCATTAATTTGCGCCCACAATTAATTTGCACTTAATCAACACATGTGGAACATTATCCACACTTTTATTCCACTTCTTTCCTTCGTTCTTCTTTGAGCATTATCTCAGTGTTCATCCGAAAGAGCGTAGCATCATCTTCCTACATGTGGCGCCATCTACCAGATTATTTCAAAACTAAGTGCACTGCTGCCCAATCCTCTCACGCTCGGTGTTGCTGTGTTCAAAGGGATGATTTTCCCTACGATATGAACATTTTATGGATATTACATTCGTGATGACAGTTTGTATTGTTAATTTATGAAAAATATTTGTCTTTTCTGTCACTGTTATTACTTTCTTTTACAGAAATATGAAGTTTGAAAATGTAAACGCGCGAATGTTTGTACACCCGCCCTGATCATACAAGAAATAATTTGAAGACAATTCCTTACTTTAGACAGTTTCTGCATTTCAAGTATTTGCTTGGAGTTAAATAGGCCCTCATTTTTTTCCACACCTTCGCTGTGGAAGTGATCTTATGAAATTTGCCTGTCTCCTTTTATCACTATTACAAACACATCGTTAGAACTTACATAATCTTAGAAACTTAATTATGAGAAAAATAATACATACATTCTTAAATATTGTTAACAGTTTAATAAATAAATACTATAATAAATAATAAATACTTTCTCTCATTCAATCTATTATTTATAATAAGTCATTTGTAGTAGTATTGAAGTATCAGCATTTTTGCAAAAGGGTAATGTTTTCTCAATACATTTTTTAATAGTTTGGTATAGATCATTACATTGATTAAGACACTTGTTAACCTAAAATGGTATTTGAAATTACATCTCCTAAATTTATTTTTACTTTTCATTTCAAAAAATTTTCCTGAAGGTAATAAAACATGAGACAATAAAGCCACTGGAATGGGCAAAACCCTAGGTTTATGAGACAAATCTTTCTTCATGTGACACAAAGATTTCATTAGAAATGTCATATATCTATTAAAATTTATCTGCCTTTTCAGCAACAAAACTTTTTAACATATTAAATTCTTTGCAGTCCAGTTTAGCAGAAACTGCTTCAAATAACTTTTTTCAATACCAGAAAGTGTAGTAATTCTATAGAAATTAGATAGTATCGGAAAAATCTACCTAATGAAAAACATTTTGAAATTTTTTTTGAAACTAAGAAATATAACAAAAAGGAATGATATCGACATATAAAACAGCTTTCAGTAATGTCAGAGCACATTTGTCGGGAATGTGAAAAACATGCTATCCACGATTATTAGATTGAAGTGCAACTTGTTTATATAAAAACTTAGAAAATGTTTAATCTTTGACATTAGTACCTTTTTGTGTCAAAAGAAAATTACAAGGAAATTTAAAAATCTAGCCATATTTTGAAAGGAGGGTTCTGGTCAATCTACATCAATTGTACATGTAATACATAGTAACTTATTTTCACTATTTTCCCCCCTCTGAAACAGCACATAACTCTATAACTTTACATTTTGCAATGTCTCTCACGAAAGGAGATATATTGTCAACTACTGTAATAAGAATAATTGATACTTCTAAGAATAAGAACAATATCGTATGCTTCATGTAAAAGTTTAACTCCTTCAGGTTAGAAATTAGAATTTTTATTCTAAATCAGTCACCCATTAAAAACATGTTATACTGAGAGGCAACACTGTTTCACCTACATAATTGAACCCAGAGTACATATGCTCAAAAAAAACATAGCATTATTGACCAAAAGAGAAGTGAGAATGCTGAATAATTTGATGATCACATCACTTGCAAGTTTATTTTGGGGATTTCATCTACATAACCTTTCTTTTTCTCTTTTCCCTTGACGAATAAATTAGCTGTTTTTATTCAAAAACATCAATATGACCCCAATAGTACTCACAGTTATTTGGAGAAGTTCATTAGCAATGGAACTACAATATCTGAAATTCCTTCTATAGACTTGCTTTCTTTGCATTCCCTAAATTGACAGTACTTACAAGTTAAATTACAAATGTGTTAACGTCAAGATATTCAATCCCTAGTTTTCCAAATTCCGTATTCTGAGATTTCATTGGGCTATAAAATTGTATTTTCATAAATCTAATAATTTTAATAATATTCATTTAAAAACTTTTTTGTTTAGGCTCTCATTTATCTTCAGTTATACAAAATATTGCTTTAAATATTTTACCTTCACAACAAAACTCTTTTTTTTTTTTAGTAAATATTTCAATTTACTTCTTATACTACTAATTAGTTTCTCTCCTCTCCACACATAAGCTACAGTCAAAATGAATCTTGGAGTACCTTGGCATAACAAATTCTTACCATCATAGATTTTTGTTAAATAATAAACATTTGTTATTATATATTGAATATTATTTTTGTAGTGTATATATGATACTGTACAATATTATTTTTTAAATAATTACGTAATTCTAACAAATATTTAAATAAACTTCGCTAAATACAGGAAGGTAACAAACCAAAACCCTTGGCCTTTTGAGGGGGGTCATCACCCCATGGACCCTCCTGGATCCATCACTGCCATGAATTGAACCTTCTGGGGAGGGGAGACACACATCCCAACAAAAGGCATCATGCAACAGTGTGAGAAGATCAGATTGAGCAGTTTTTAGAGAAGACCATACAAGGGCAAAGAGTAACCCAATCAAGAACCACAAACATAATCCATTTCAGTTACTTTAAAGTAGATTTAGTTCACTTCAATATTATGAAGATATGAAGATTTATATTCTTAGAATATAGTGAATTTCATGGTATACCAAAAATGTTACTTCTCTTAATGTTATTGCTCAATTTTTCAACCATTCACAATTAAAAAAAGGGCATGACAGTATTTAAAGATCTAAAATTAGGATAGAAATAGGAAAGAAATCTGTGACTTTAATACTACAAGCATAGGACAGGTACAGCACGTTCCCGCACAAACATTTCTAATCTGAAAGACAAATGATGTATGACACACATATCAGCAATCCATTCATAAAGACATCCTGATTTTGGAGTTCAAAATTGTGTATCTCCTTGCCAACAGCACCAATATTAACTCCAAAGAACTTTTAACACAGATTTTACAAGTGTTGATTCAAGATCATATTGTTGAGATGATTTTAATACTTTTTTTTACTCTAGTATAGGGAGGAAAAATAAAAAGTAGCTGACAGTTTGCTAATTCTTCCCAAAATAGGAATTTGTCATGTATCAAGCACCAATTAAAAACCAACTTCCATGTAGAAGTAGTTTGATTAACTCACATATGATAAAAAAAAAAAGTAAAAGTCAATTATTTAATCATACATTTTATTGTATGTGAAGTTATGTACAGTTAAATACAAATAAAACTGATTTCAAGCTGTGTTCTCTGTTAATGACCTGGCCATATTCACTTTTAATAAACTACATTTGATTGCATTCGCATATTTTTGATATAAATATTAGTAAAACAGTAGTAACTATGCACACAGTGCATCGTCTACCACATAAATTTGATTGTGACGTTCAAGAGTGCTTATATTAAGCTCAAGGCGCCGTAGTTCCTTCTCCATGCGTTCTTTACGTGCCCGTTTGTGCATTGTGTCAATTAAAATAGGCATATGTTGATAAGCTGTTTGAAGTTCATTCCAATTTTTTCTTAATCCCTGAAATGAAATAAAAGATACAGAAGCATTAATAATAAGTTATTTTCAAAAATTTAATAGGGGAAGGAAGAATCGGACATCTAAAATTAAAATTTGTGACTCTGCAAAGTCATGGTTTTAATTAGGATACAGTAACAAATTTGATGACAAATACAAATAAATAAAGAATCCAACTAGCATGTTTCTTACAATTGTCAATTGCACTTCAATAAAACTACTTCTTCAAACATTTTATCCCGCCTTTACAAATCCTTATTTTTCCACAATAAAAATGAAATGTATTAACATATTGCAAAATCATATATTTCTTAAATTAAAATTTACAGAGCTTTAAAGACAAGAGAACTGATAATTTTCATTACAATGTGCTTTTGTTCATAACACCAACTTCAGGCTCTAAATAAAAAGAAAAATAGTAAATATAATAGAGAAGTTAGAAGTTGATATTTTGTTAGAAGAGATATGTTTGTTAAATGATCAAGGTTTGAAGGTGTGGATTCACCAAAATAATACTCCTGTACTGACAAAAACAATTGTCATAATTAATGAAGAAGGAGCACTTGTTTAAATCTGGAGTCTAAAAGAAAATTTTGGCACAATAGCAGTATGTATGCCTTATTTCTTGTAGATGATGACTTGAAGAAAGTAATGAAAATCTTGAATTGTTCTAATCAAAATAAAAATATCATCATGACAAAACCTCAATATGATGGGCATGTATCATGTTCACTAAGGTGCTGAATAAAGTGACCTTGTTTTGTATGAGAATGGAAAACAAACCAATGTTGAGAATACAAAAAATAATTTTGAATCTCAGGAAAAGAAGATTCTGTGATAAACAAAAAACCAATGAAATATCGAATCATCTATTCATTTGGGGCTACTAATGCTATGCTCTAATGTTGCTTACGGAGAAGGAAGAAAAGAAAAAAAGTTTGTAATATGTATGCAATAATTGCCACAAGAACTTGTTATTTCAACCATTTTTAGAATCAGCATCCAACAAAATTACTATAGATATTACTATAAGATCACTATATTTATTTATTTATGATCCTTTATTTAGTGCCTGGGTTATTAGTTTTTTTATGGTACATACCTGAAATTATCTATTGTCAAACAATTGCGTTAGTACAGAGCATTTATTTAAAAAAGTTTAATATGAAATAAAATAATTCATTTGAGATTCCCTAATTGACATGATAGTGCCAGTTTTCCAATAGGCAATTGCCATTAGGCAATGGAATACAATGTGAACTGTGAAATTATTTCTTTGTTTATATTTATGTTAAAATTATTGTTTTGAAGAAAGATGTTTATTGAAGTTGAAAGAACAGGAAGAGATACTAAATATAAACACTAGACTTACAAAAAATTAATTAAAATTACCTCCAATAAAGCTTGTCGTTCCTCTTCAGGAATCACGTACACCCCTGGAGTTGCAGGCACAGGTGCCTGACATACAGGTGGAGCTCCCATTGATCCAACTGAACTTTTTCTGCATACAATATACCCTGGAACCTTACCATAGGTCTTAAAAAGGAAACAATATAAATTATGAATTTTAGGAATGTTAAAAATGTCACACTCACAATTAAATACAATATTACCTTCTTGTGAATATATATAGGCAGAAGCCCAGAACGTAATAAAGATTGTGAATGTCCTCTGTGTGAGTCAACATATTTTGGAACAGGTTGCCTGGGTACAGAATGCACAACTTTACGAATATTTTCTAATGCAAAATTTTTTGCACATACTTTTGCTGCTGAAGCCTGTTTCTTTGCTTCTTCCGTCTCTTTCTCATTTGTACTTGGGCAAGGATATCTCTTTCCTTGGCCCTTTTTCCAGCCTTCTTCCCAAGCTTTTGTTTTATCTGAAGATGGTTCTTTCTTCACTACAGGGCATGAAGGCAAGCAAGGTCTTCGACAAGTAAGACAACATTTTGGTCCCGCTATCAAAGAACAATGAAGTGTAGGTATTAGAAATGAATTTTAAACAAATTAAAAATTAAAGAGCCTCAACAAATACCTGTTACTGGCCGTGGAGGTACAATGCGAGTATTCTTTCTTAGAAATTCACATGGCTTTGGTAAGGGCACTTGGGCATAGCCTAATGTTTTATGGCATTCTTTATTTTTTTTCTCCTCTTTTACAATTTTTGGCCGATATTTCGATATGTACCTTAACAGATTGATGGTGTTGTAGAACATTGCACATAGAAAATAAAAATCCGTCTCCCTTGCATTTTCGTAAGAGAAATACACAATACTCACATACACCTGGTTGTGATTGCCTGAACAGCCTGAATAGATGATTTTGGAGGGTCAAGGATGTTATGTATATTTTCATTATGATGAGTAATTGTAACTAATGACATGTCCTATTGAAAAATAACTTGTTCTTAAAACACTGAAAATGTGACAAATACCAAATTTTTAAACAATGGACGTTTTGGAATATGAATATAATTCAATTCACTTATCGAAGTTCACAATTTATGCATATCTGTAAATCACTCCCAAATCATAAAAACTAAAGAAACATCGCGACATCCTGTTCGTAGAAGCAAACGTCGCGTTTTCGGTTACTAGGCTACGGTTGTTTTGTTTGGAAGTATCTCAGATTGCTGGATTCTTCACTTATCTTAACTACCTTTTATTCTATAAAGAAAAAATAAACACTAAAGCTTTATGTGTTTTTAGGGTTTTAGTTTTCATGTTGTAGTACCAAATAAAATAAAGTTTCGTTTAGATCTTGCGACAGAAAGTCAGGCGCTTCACTCAAGGACACAAATTATTAGCTTTTCTCGTAGAGTAATTTCGAGTTGCTATAGTTACCAATAACCATGGTCGATCTACAAAGGAATTCCTTCCTAATATAAAACGCTGAGGGAATATACGGTTTAATAGAATTTATAAGAAATCATCAGCTCAAAACCCATAAGTGTCCTACTGTTGGAGAGGGAGGGTCCTACTGTTGCCCAGTCCTGCATCAAGGGCATTCAAGACGAGAAACACGTTCACAGATTATGGCATAAGTGGGAAATCTTGCGCAAATGCCACCAATTATATACTCTCTGTAGGCAACCCTCAATACACATTCCGCGGGATCATATTTTACCATCGTGCGAACGCGTTTCTTGGGGGGGCGTTGAACGCTTCGCGCTTTTTGGAGTAATTCTCCTTACATTGTTGCGCGAGAGTAATCCTCCATTAATTATATAGTCCGTCCCGTCTCGTCTTAATAAGTTGTCAAGAGGATCGCCAGATAGCATCGCCGCGCACGAGTCTCTTTCTTACGCGCTCCTGCGTCGCTACTTAGCGGCCAGAATTCGGAAGGAATTAGAATAGGGATAAGATTTATGACGCCTCAGAGGAGTTGGACTAGCCCCTGTGAAGCATGCAAACTAGTTTTGTCGTAAGTCGTAAATTTCACACGAGGTTCTACGGGGATTCTATGGGAATCGAACCCGGAAGCTCAATGGAAAGTCAAGCGATTTCGGCATTGAGCCACGAGAGCAATTTTTTAGCATTATTTTGTGGCAATCTATTGCTATATCTATTATTTTAAGTTTTTATTTATTTTTTGTTCTTAAAGTCTTGTGGATCCTTCTGCATTACATTTTTTTGAGTTACCGCTCTTTTAGATACACTTACGAAAAAAAGAACCGTTGGAATATACCAGATCCATGATACTGTAACAAGGAAACTTCCCGTCTTACATACCAGGGAGGCCACTGAACTATCCGTCGCCGTAAGGTTTCACAAAGGTCTATTTCGCAATAAAAAATCACAGATGAAATAATTGAATTTCCAGTTTAAAATGTGTGATAACTTGCGTTGAACATGTGGGGAACAAGTGTAATGTGGAGGAATACGTGAGAGAACACGAGGGAAACTATGCGAAGAACATCGAAACATTTGAAAAACATGAGGGAAAATATGTACAGTGTGCAAGTGAGGAACCATTTTGTATTTATTCTTAAATTCTATTTCCATTGATCACTTACGGCCTAGCTTACAAACTAGATTCTTACCAACTAATCTAAATCTACTTTGTCTTACATCCTAACTTATTCGAATACCAAACACTAAATACATTATTTACACTGTGAATAACATACATATACACTTACAAACACACTGTCTGTCTGTCTGTCTGTCTGT